GCTACTATTACAAAAATTTGGGTCACTCAAATAACTTATATTTATTTCTCACAGTCTACAGCGTGGAAAGTCCGTGATCAAGGCGCTGGAGGATGATTTGGTGTCTGGTGAGGGCCATCTACTTGTGCACAGATGGCCTTCTCACTGTGTCCTCACATGTCCAAAGGGGCAAGAGAGATCTCAAGTGACTCTATTATATGGGGATTAATTCCATTGACGTTGGCTTCACTCTCATGGCCTAATAATCACTGCCCCAAAGTGCACCTCCTAACACGATCACATTGGGAGTTGACATTTTAACATATAAATTTAGCTGGGGGCTGGGGAGGAAGTTTGAGGTGGACATTCAGTCCATAATAGCCAGAAATAAGTTGACAGTAGTCAGTGTTGTTGAGAACTGAAGCAGTTTTACTGAACAATTAGCTAGACAAAATCCTGCACAGCAGATGCCAGAGAAAAGAGAAAAGGTGGGAAGAGAAGAGAAAGTATAACTGAATTATAACCACTGCTGCCAAACAGAGATGACAGAGGAGGAAGAAAAACAGGTTCTAATCCTTAAAAAGTTATCTGGAAATAATCTTTTAGAAAACATTTTCAAAAGGTTCTGTTTACATTTTCATCTGTCTTAATCACAAAGTTTTAAAATAAATCTAAAATTACTTTTTCATGCAATTACATGCTTATATTTACTGTCTAATATTACATTCATATTTCTCCACTATTTAGACTGGTAATGTATAGCATAATTTCCTTATCTGTAAAAGTCAGTTGGATTACATGACTTCTAAGAGTCTATGTATTCTTCCCAAAGTCTATCATTCTGCATTTTCACTTGAATTGTATAAGCATTTGTAGCTCATCCTAACAGAATATAATGATCTTAGTTCTTTTTCAGCAGGGACTGCATTATAAGTTCAAAATAAACAACTTATAAATGAACTATTGGAAGCTACACTAGTTGTTGCGATCAATTTCTACCAAGTATTTGGATATACTTTGAATATACATAGGAGCCTGAACTAGGTGAACTTCAAAATACTTTACATCTTAAAATTACGTAGTATCTTGTAATAAAATGCAATGTATGAAGATTTGCTTATTTTAGAAGAGCGGGTATGTTTAAATTCATGGCTCTTGAGATGATCAGTTATTTATATATATATATATATATATATATTTCTCTTAGCTTCCCTTTAAGAAACTTGCTTATAATTTCTGCATTATCTTAAAATATTCAAATCTCCATACATTAAAAAATCTACTTAATCTATAATACAAGTCCAAAGTTTCAAATTTCATATAACAAAGGGACATTTTAATTATATTTCTGGTAATATGAATATTGCACATGACTCAGTTAATTGTAGGGACACCACCACAAAGAGTGGCAGATTCCTTAGTACAGAATTGTTCTGAGGCAATAATAGAACAGGACAGAATTACATTGTATCTTGAATCTTGTAGGTCACAAGCCATACCATTATTTTTTCTCTCATCTAAGAACATTTTAAACCTATTATGCATTCTTTTATTTCGAATCACTGAAGCACATTAAAGAAGAAATCTTTTTGAAAGTAATAAATTAATGCCCTCTGTGAAATTTTCACTTCCTTAGAACCACTACTAACTTTCTACAGCTTTTATGAAAAATTTTCTTTTGAGTTTTGTAATTCTTTTGTCCAAAGTGTTCCTTATTTTTGAAAATGCACTGACACTGAAGTATTTTTAATAATCCAGTTAAACATATATTTACTAAATTCAAGGGAATTATAAGACATACAGGATGGAAAGGAGTACCATACAACTAGACACCATATGAAATGCTTTCCTTTAACAAACCAGCAGGGCTTGAAGTCAAAAAAGACTTGGGGGGTGGGGGTGTGGAGAAGGGCAGAGAGGAAGGGGAGAGAGAGAGAGGAAGGACGGGAGGGAAGTATGGGTGATGAAGGTGGTGGGGAGGTAAATACAAATCAATGCTACTGTCTTTGGGTAGTCATGTTAACTATAGCATTATCATGTAGACACACAGAATTGAATGCCTAAAGGCTTAAAGTTCTCTTTCCTTCCTTATTCTTCCTCCCTCCACCTGCTCTAGCACTATACAGAGTGTTTGAGGGCAAAGCAACATAGGTCCAAAACATCATTCATAATGTGGCAAGAATTTACTCTCTAAATGTGACCAGAAACCGAGAGATTTCAGTATTTAACCCTGAAAATAAACAGTTACAAGAAAAAAAAAATCTGCCCTGAAACATTACCTTTCCAGCATCATGTTCAGTGCGGGCCAGACATATACAACTCAGGAAGAACATCTGATGGCATTTCTTCCAACCCTGGAGACAATTTCACTGCAAGGCTCAATAGTTCAGGTGAGACACTCATTTTTGGACTGTGAATGAACTGTATGGAAGGAAATAATTTCCTCTAGCTGTTCAGAAGCAAGTGTTTACAAAACACATCAGGACTCCAGAGAGGTACCAAAAGAGAAAAATTTTGCAGACTTCATGGTCCAAAGATTTGCAAATCTCTCTTTGTAAGAAACTCTATTTTACTAGGACAACTTAAGTAAACTTTGTCTTTAGCAGAAAACGGCCCACAACTGCAGAACCTTGACAGTTAGGTTAAGAGAAACTTTCTGCAGTGATTTCTTGAGTTGAAAAATTCCAGGAAGTAAGCATGTGTAGTCATGTAAAATATCACAGCTACTCCAGCTAGAACCTTTCACTGACATTGGAGAAAGAGATTTAATTATACATATTCCATCGCGGCATTACTCACCCCTATAACATGTATTTTGAAAAAGGAACAAAAAATGTTCAGTACTTTAATAAAGTCTTTTTCTTTCAATGTTATCATCCCATCCACTGCTGCAATATAAAGATCTGGAATAAAGAATTTCCCATCTGAAAGAATGCCTTGTATTCCCATCAGCAAAGTAGGCACACTCTGGGAAACCAGCCAGGGTGTGGGGATGGCCTCCTATAAAACTGCCTTTTTATATGCACATTAGAACGGGATTCTACCTGTACCTGCAGTTGTTATATATGTACCGAATTCTCCCTACCCTTCAAGAACACAACGCCAAAACGAGGGCATTCTTTCATTTCCCCCATTTTTTGCCAAGAAAGGAATAACAAACTCGAAAACAAATTCCCAATTTTTTGGCAACCATCTACATTTTTGGGGTTTTTTAAAATATTTTCTTTGGTTAGAAAGTTTGTGCAAACCAAAGTCTAAAATTCTATAGCTTGCCTTGGGAACTCTATTTTCAAACACACCCCAAGACAGCCCTGGCGCCGGCCGAGTTCTACAGCATGGAAATAGAACAGATTAACCAGCACCACGACGGGCACGGGCTCGGGAGGCTGCAGAGGGCTGCGCTGAGGTCACCCGGCCGGCAAGCCCGTGGCTCCCGCCGCACTCGGGCCGGGTCTGTGCCCAGTCCCCCCGCCCCCCAAGTCTGCGGCGCAGAAGGGGCCAGGTGGGCGAGGCGGGGCTTCTCTTTGAACTCCCCGTTCCCCTTCCAGCGCCGCGCACCTGCGGCCCGCGCCCCCTCCAAGTTCCCGCTGGACGCCCCGCCGGGCGAGGGGCGCCCCTGGGCCGGCAGCCGCGAGCCGGGGGGGCGGTGGGGGCGAGCCGGGCGCGCTATTTTCTTTCCAAGTCAGCCTCCCTGAGGATGTTGGATTTGGCGGAGTCTGCTCTTTGAAATACTATCTTGGGCACCTCACACGTTTAAAAGAATTTTTATTTATTTTTTTTTAATTGCAAGCCTCCCCGGAGCACCCGGCAGCTGGAGAGCAGGCCCGAGGCCGCGTCCCCTCCCTCTGGCCGCCCCCGCTTCCCGGCTCCCCGCCCCCGCCCCCCGCCCGGCGCGGACTCGCGGGCGCCGCCCCCTCCCGCGCGCCCACTTGGTTCCTCCCAGCTGCCGTGTGAATGGGCCGCCCTCCGGGTTCCGCGGAGGGGGCGGCGGGAAGAGGCCGAGCCCGGGCCCCGGCGGCCGCCGCCCCCGCCCCCGCCCCGCGCGGCCCACGCCGGGATCTGCGTCACTCGGCCGCGCGTGGGCGGGAGCCGGAGCGGCGAATGTAGCAAGAGCGGAATCTCCCAATGTGACAGCGCGCGGGGGGTGGAGGCGGCGGAGGCGGGCGGCGGGCGGCGGGCGGCGGGCGGGGGAGGGGAGGGCGCGCGGGGCGGGCGGGGGCGGAGGCGGAGGCGGAGGGAGGACGCGGGGGGACGCGCCGCCGCCGCTGCCCGCGCGCCGGAGCCCGAGGAGCCGCGGCGGCCACCGCGGCCGAGCGAGCGCCGTCGGGGCTGGCGGGCGGGAAGGAGCGGCGGGGCCCGGCTCGGGGGGGACCGGAGAGCGCGCGCCCACCACCTTCCCTTCCCCCCTCGATGGGCGCGGGGGCGTCCCGGCCGCCGCAGCCGCCTGAGGAGGGAGCGCCCGGGGCCGGCGTTCCGGAGTTGGGGCTGAGCCGTCCTCGAGGGAGAGCGCGCCAAGACCGCTGCCGCCGCGGGCCCGGTACGTACCGAGTCGCGGTCCGCCCGGCGCGGGGCGCGCGCGTGTCCCCGCGGCCGCGGGAGAACTTGGGGCGGCGGAGCGGCCGGGGCGCGGGCCCCGGGGCAGCGGGCCTCGGGCGGCCGCCGCCGGAAGGAGAAGGCGGCGCTGGGCTCGTGTGGGCGACTCCCGGAGAAACTGGGTGCGCGGGGCAGCGAGCCGAGGGCGAGCGCCGCAGCGGGCCGCCCTGGAGCGTCTCCCCGCCGGGGAGCGAAGGGGGGGTGGGGTCCGGGGTCCCCGCTCCGGCCCGAGCCGGGGTCGGGGCGCGGTGGCGCGCGGTGCGGTGCGTCGGGGGTGCGCGCGCCGGCCCCGGAGTTTTGCAGCCGCCTTCCCCGGCGGCGGAATCTTTGTGTTGGTTTGTTTACTTTAGGAAAGTATTGCACTTAAAGGTTTAGTTCTTGTCCTGGGTATTTTTCACCTTCCGAGCCTAGTTTTTCTTTTTTGAAAGCGGAAGGAGAGTTTTGCTTGGAAGTAGCTTGCAGAAACTTGGCACCAAGGGGCAGGGGAGCAAGAGAGACTCATTGTGCTCGAGAAGGCCGAGTGTGGAATTTGCAAACACATGTGGGACATACAAGCCTGGGATGCAGAGGTGTGTGACCTTATTGGTGTAGAAACATCGCGAATGCTATCAAATGTTGGTGGGCTGCAGCCTCAGGGTTCACAAGGCTTAAGATGTGAAGCGACAGTTACAGTAAGTGCAAATGTCAGAGCATGGGAAAGGATAATTGCGTTGGAGTGTGTACTTGCAGGTTCCGAAGACCAAATTTTGCAGCAGGTCATCAGGAGCAGCTCTTAAGTATGCACCACTCGGTGAGATCCAGGCTGCATGGAAAATTTGGGGGTAGCTGTCGATTTAAAATTTTATCCCTAAGAGTTCATTTGGTTTGCCAGTGACATGTCTGCAAACTTCGGAGTGCAAAGATCAGACGCAGAGGGAAAACCTCAAATCTTGTTTAAAAATATTTTGGCAGTTTTAATAGATATTGGATTGCGAGGAAGAGAGGAACAGAATTTAAAATAGATTAGTCACGTAGGAAATGCTTAGCTGTTTTGTTAAAAAGTGTGCACGCAGTTACCTGCTTGGATTTTTTACCTTTTTGAAAAATTTCTCCTGTAAAACATACCAAATAAAGACATGTCATTTATGTGTGGATTTTAAGATGGAATGTTGGGGGAGAGAATGCACAGGATTTACTTTTTCTAGTCTGGGTGGAGGCTGGTATCTTCCTGAAGACTTAAAAGAGCTGCTTCTAATCTAAGTGCCACTAAAAGTGTCTCTTGGGTTTTCAAGGGTATCCAGGCTTCCTCCATTTTTTGATTTTTATCTGAGTCATTTAATACTGTCATATTCAGTTTTTGAAATCACGATGCCTTTAGAGGTATTGAAATTAAAATAAGGGTTCTTTTGAATTTATAGATGTGTGGCAAGGTCTGACTTTATTTCTGTTTGGATTTTAGATATTGGAAAATTAGATCTTGAGAGAATAATTTCAAGAAACCATTGGACGGTTTCTCATTTTAATTTTTATTATTTTTAGTATCTTGCACGAAAGTTAATATGCCATCCCAGTATTAGAAGAATTTTGTTTTTCTTGGCTCTGGTGATTTCCTGTTGCTTGTACATGTATTAATAATAAGAAAAACATTGAGACATTATAGATCTTTATTTTATTGCATCCTGCCTGCTGATTGTAGATGTTATTAAAATAACATATTTTTAGGAATACTGTAGTTGACATAAGGAAATTTAGTGAGTTTAATAAATTGATATATCTGGTAACTAGTTGACATCTTATTTCAGAATTATTAATAAAGTAGACTAATCCTAGCTAAATAAATAAAAATTTTATTTTTTTGTGAGTAGTAAATAACATCCACTACTTTATAGGAAAGTTAATAGTTAATAGATTTCCATTCTCTTTGTTATTTAGATAATCAGTTAAAGCATTAGATTTTTTTTTAATTACACTTTAAAATCTTAACTGGTTTATTAAATTTTGGAGGGGGATGCAGTAGAATTTTTGAAAGAAGAAATTAGATGTATAACACAGTGGGGGAGACTTGAAAAATTTATTGTATGAACTTTAAATTTTTATAGTAAAAAGATGATGGAAACAAATATGTCAGGTTTTTTGGTTTGTTGATCTACACTCTGTTCAAAGATTTAGGCCTCATCTATTAGATTATTACTAGGATAATTGTTTTTGTTTATGCTATTCCTGTGCATTATTGGAAATGAAAGCTCTGTAAAATTTACCTTTCTATGTAAAATTGTGTTCTGGATACAATAGGACCATAATATATTTTACCTTACTTTAATGAAATGAACATTTTACAATGTTTTGAGCAGTTTAAGATTTTGCTAAATTATTGACCTGTGTATTCCTATTTCATTGTGGAGTCTGTTAAACATGCTAAGGAATGAATGATATACTCAGGCATAACACAAGGTTGTTACCCCTGTGCTTTGGATTTAGTTTATCTTACCTGCTTCTTTTATTCTTTGTAGTACAATGAAGTATAGTTCAGTTATTATATTAAATGCAAATTTCCTTTTTGATCTGACATTTTCAATAAGTAGTACAATAGTTGAATATACTCTCTTAAACTTAATAATGGAACAAGTGGGAAATTAGAGAAGTTGATGCTGGGAAAAAATAGTAATCCTCATCTTGTCAGAATTCACACAGCTAAAACATACCATTAAGCTTTCAAATAGTTTGTCATTTCTCAAAACGTTGTGTTTGGAGTTTGCACATTAATTTTCACATTATGTTAATTTGATAATTTTAAAAGAAATTTCTGAAAGAAGATAAGTTAAATATATATATACTGCATGCTCAGAAGGCATTTACTGTTTGTTAAATGAGTTTGTTAGTTGATTGAAGGATTTCCAGCCATATAACATGAAATGCTGGTATTTAGCTCTTGGTATTATAGCTAGTGCATAGTTATTAATTAATTGCAAAATAAATCTGATTTACATTTTTCTGATTTTGATAAATTGAATAAACACATTAAATACTTTCATTAAATTTTTAAGGGATCTGAAATTTTTTTTCCAACTTCATTTTAGAATTCAGAAAAGCATCAATATAAGTTTCCCAAATTACCATTAATTCATTAGAAGCTAATGTTTAATTCATGCTATGACAGTAGTAAGATCCAAAAAACATTTTCACTTAAGATATAGCACTGAATGCTTATTAATAAAGGTGCTTAGATAAATTGTTTGATACTTCAAATGCATAAACAGGAATTAGTACCTAGGCCATTCCCTGCAATTTTAAGTAACCCATTCATGTAAGTGAAATTTAATTAGTTTCAGGAATAGGACAAAAGTGACAAAATTAATTTCCTAGGCTTATTAAGGCTTTTGCTATGCCAAATTATGGCTTTTTAATTAGTCTTTTTCCAGTTTTAATCTGTAGTATATCCATCATTCTCCCCTGACCTCTGTACCTTAAAGCTATACTTTCCCAAAACTTGGCAGTACTTCAGAGGCTTTAAATGTAGTCTCTGCCCTCAGATTTCCTGTTTCCTTCCTTGTCATTTCCCATCCTTGTCTTTCATTCCTTTAGTATACACATGATCTCATACAGATAGCAGAAGGAAAATAATCTGGTGGAACTAATTCACCTTAATCTGTAAATGACTTTTGAGCTCTTATGCCCTTTCAAGTTTTTTCACATATCTTACAAGTATCTAAGAGGTTGCTGTTAATGTAGATAATTTTAAAAAGTAAAAATTTCAGGCTTTGTTGGGAGGAAGGAATTTATAGTCCTCTGCAATCATAAGTCAGATTTTATGGGGATTTTGCTCTTGGTTTCTCCCTACTTCTGAAAGTCTTCTCTTTGAGATGCCATGGACATAAAATATGTATATGCATATATAAATATATAGCTTAAGTATATATGTATGTGCATATATAAGTTTATATTATGTATGTCATGTAAAGGAAAATTCAAGAGTAGTGATTGATTATGAGTCCATTTGAGTGTAGTGATAATTTACAAGATTAATACTTGTTATTGGGAGATAACTGATAACTTTTATTAACACAGAAGAAAAGAGCTAGAATCTTTCAAGACTGAAATTGATTTCTTAAATACTAGTGTTGGGTCTGATGCTAACACATGATGTATGTTTTACTAATTATGTGTAGTTCCTATATTTGGGGGAGCATTTTTTTAATCTCTTGGAAAAATAGCATGTTGGGACTCCAACATAAAGCCTTATAAGTATTGAGAGTGAGAAAATAAAAAGGATTTGTAGGTAAAGTAGCAGGATGTGCTGTTATTAGGTTGGTAATTCACTGGGACACCAATTTATACAGTCTTCCATTTGGAATATGAAAGGAGGCTTCTGATCAGATTTTGATTCAAATGATGGTTTTCATGCAGCTGCAGCCTTGATAGAGATGTTTCTATCTTGAGCTCTGCTAGGAATAGAGAGGGACAAAAGATAAATGAGACTTAGTCTCTATCTTTACGGAGCTTATCACCTAGTGGTACCCTGTTCCACAGAACCAGGTGAGGCTGCTTCTCTGTTCCATTTATGTACACTTCACTTAGTTTCTGTCACAATTTAAGTGCTTACTTTTCTTTTTTTTTTTTTTTTCTTACTTTTCTTTCTCTTCTTTCTTAACTGATTCTTCCTGAAAGACTCCCTTTCTTCTCTCTTCAGGACTAGCTCAGTAACTGACATGTTTGAATAAATGAAGAAAAAAATGAGTGCGCAAGAAACAGAATTTTGGCAAGCTGAGAAGGGAGAAGACCCCTACTATATGGGGTGTGGAGAATGTTTTATGGAAAACACTTGGAGGTTACCTGGAACAAGGGCAGGGAAGCAGGATGCACATTTGAGAAATGCTCAGTGTATCTATTTGCTATGAGCATAGGAGTGTATTAGGGACCAGAGAGAAGGCTGAAAAGGTAATCTTGGGCCTGGGATACCTATTTGAGTATAGTATCTGTGCAATGGGGAAATTTGCACAACTGAGTTAAGAGTTATCTCTGTACTTAAGGAAGATAAAGTTGGCATTGTAATGTGGGATATATTGAAGGCCAGGAAGCTGGAGCAAGAACAGTGAAAACTAGAGTTAGGTGTTTTTGAGGCAGAGTAAGAAAAGGGGCGGTAGTGTGACCCAAGGGCATGCTGATTTGAGGAAGAAAAATGGAATCCTTACATTTATGAGCTCAGGGAACTGCAAGAATAGGGCGTGTAATTAACAGAAGCAAGAGTTGGGAATAGATTTGTTTCTCTAAAAGAAAGGAGGAAAATGAGATATATTACATATTTGCTTTTAGACTTAATGCATTTGAAGATTTTGACAGCCTGCAAGTGGTAGTTGAATGTGCATACCAGAAACTACTTGTGGTGATAGTTCTCAAACTTTGCAGGTATAACGATAATTTTTTTAATTAACAAAAGAAGCAAATTTTCATTGATAATTTCATTTTTTGTATTTGTTAATTGAGAATGCATATGACAAATAACTATAATGAATAGAATTATACTTTGAAACGTTTAAATGAATTTTTGTTTTTTAAATCACAAAGTGTTTATTTACCTTTATTTGCAAAGTAAACGTGTGAGAGGCATCTTTTTTACTCAGAACCATCTAATCACTGGTTCAAGTTACAAGTAGAGCTGTCCCAACTGCTGTAAGTGATAATTGAAGTCTGGAAGTCGATGAGATTATTAAGGGAGAAAATGGAAAGTCAATAGAAAAAAGATCTAATAAACTTTGGAGAATTCTTCCACTTAAAATATACTTAGGGAAGACAATATCATAATGGCATACCAACATCAGATGAAGAGCATGTCAAGGTGTGATGTCAAGCTGCCAAGAGATTGGAAAGAGAGAGACAGTGACAAATCAGTTATTTATTAGTTGGGATGGAGTTGTGGGGCCAGAAGCAGACTGAAACTTCCTGGAATGGGTTGAGGCAGGTTTGAAGGAATGATTCTTTTAAAGCATTCCTGACCCTAAGTCCCCACATTCCCAACTTCGAGAATGTCAGGGAAATATGGTTTTTCATAGCAGTAATAAGTGCTTTCTGCAGTAGAAAGAGCAGGAGTTGACCATTAAAAGTTTTCCTGACCAACTAGCTCCTATTTCACTTAGCATATTTTAATCTGGAAGATGACTGATCCTATATCCCACTGAGAGTCAAAGCGAGGTTTTTGGGTTTTTTTTTTTAAAGTTTCTGACACAACTTATTACCATTTTATCAGTAAATGACAACAGATGGCCTTAAACTCATCCTTTAATTCCTTTTCCTCTTTAACTGACCAGACTGAGGAACATTTAAGTTGGTGCAAGTTGAGTTTGCTATACAAAAGCCTTTACTGTAGCTTTTGAATACAGTAAGAATGAGTAATTGGTTTTTCTTAACTGGAATTCATAAAAAGGTCAGACTCAGCATGTTTGTTCCAGCATGTCTTGAAAAGGCCAGGTAACAGTTTTCAGTTGAGTAGATATACTGTACTATTAGCTGCCTGTGTATAATGTTGTGTAAGTGTCCTTGTTATATTTATTTCAGATTGAGAGAGGCAGATAGAAGCTTACTCTTGACTTATTTGACCTTCATGTTGAAGCATGAATGGGATTCAGAGTTAGTAAAAACAGAAAATCTCATCTTATAAAAATTTTCTTTTAAATCAAATCAAGTTAATATATGAAGTGGTGGGTGTTCAAATTATCACCCCAGGCTTTTGTAGAAAATGGAAACACTCTTAAAGCAAAAGCTTAGGGAGAAAACTCCTTTCCCAGCAGTAAGTGCCAGTCTTTAGAAAGCCCCCTGGGACTCTAAATAGTTCACTTATTTATCTTGCATCTGTTATCTTGGCTTTGAAAATGTAAGCTTGGTCCTGTCATTCCTATGGAGATATTCATAACTACTTCTTTTTACTGGTACTGAAGGGCTTTCTCTTAGGAAGTAGGGGGTTTCCTTTCTTTTTGGGTAAAGATGAGGAAGGATAAAAGTTGAAATATTTTTCTAAAATCATTGCCTTATCTTGGAAGACTAAAACCTAAGTTTGTGTCTTTAGCTTTTTTTTAAGGTTTTCCTTTTATATTTGTCTAGCATTTTTTTAAATTGCTCATGAAAAGATTCAGAACTCTTCTTCCATATTTTTTCTTGTAATCTTTCCTCTCTTCATAATTTGGGGAGTACGTATTGGTGAGATAATTGATAACATCATACATCTTGCAAAGTTAAAATTATTTATAAAAAGGATTGCGTGCATGCATATATGTATGGGAATTTTTTATTTTTTGGTTATACTCCAGTTGAAAGGCCGTATATCTATTATTGCATTAGGTGTATGATAGGAAAGTACATTTCTTTTCTTCACCTCAGACACTTTCTGGAAGCCCTTTTCCTTGGAATAATGTAGTCTAGTGCAGACCTGTATCTCCTGAGGGCTGTGTTTTTGGGGGTAGGGATCTGGATGGTGGGCTCTTTATGGAGCATCTCCTCTGGAGTGGCAGGACTAGCTAATCTTCCCTTGGGCTATTTAGAAGATGTAAGAATGTTGTTATCTCCAGAGGGTATACTAAATAGGTATCTTCTAGTGTGGTTTGCCAAAATTGCCAAATGATGGCACACTTCTGAGATGTGCCTCAGATGCCTGGGAAACTGTATTTTTAAAAAGCGCCCCAGATGATTTCCAGGGTGTTTGTAGAAACTGTTGGCCCCTGATTCAGTTTTTTGTGTGTCTCTTGAGAAAGTCAGTCAGGTCACTTGGCAATGCCTTTGTAAAATTTGAAGAGGTCATTATTTGATCAAAGCAGATTGTGGTCAGTATAGAGGCGCCAGAAGATGGGGCTTCCCTTAAAGTTGTAGGGAGATGCATTCTCCTTGGATGCGATAACTGAGTCTAGACGTTTGTATAGTGTTTGGGTTAATGGCATGAAGGGAAAGTCCCAGATTTGGTGACCTCCTGGCCCTTAGGGATATTCCTAATATTCCTATGCTTGTTCATCTCCTGGTTAACTGTTGTGCTATACTGTTTTGATTTGAGAGTAGAGCTTCCATTTTCCTCTGATGTATGTTTTTGTTGTTTTTTTTTTTAACCTTCTGTAATTTTCTCCTTTTAATCCTGAGGGTGCATTGATTACAAGTTTGTTTGTTTCTCTTAAATGGAAGTACTTGGCCAACTTCTCTTTGTACGTGGGAGGTCTCCAGGCAACTGTGAATAACTTTTAGAGACTGCTAAGAGGTCAAGAATTACTTTGCTGGGTCTTGTCCTGTCTCTTTAAAGGCAGGCTTCTTTGTCTTACTTAGGCCCTAAAAGTGTTTTTTTTTTTTTTTTTTTTTCTTTGTCCTTGTCTCAGGGGCTTTCCTACTCTGGAGGGTTCTCCCACCCTCCCTGGTTTCATCCACTATCTTTACATAGTTAGACTCCAGTGTTATTTTGCAAGAAATACAGTTCTTCTACCCTGAATCACTTTCAAGTGTCATGTATTTGAGAGTCCCATCATCCCAATTTTTCTTTTTCCCCAATGCCTGTCACAATTCTAGACTCTTATGTATGTGAGCCCAGAGTCCTATATGATTCTTCTGTTCTGGAACCACAGAGAGTGTCAGTAAATGATACACCCTACCTTGCTTTTGTGCTCTTGGTTCCTAAATAAACTATCTTCCATCTCCTCCAATGCACAGTGGAATCTCTTCCTCTGCCTGCCAGACTAATCTTGCTAATTTTTCTTTAAATGGGAATGACTACTCCTATCTTGTAGGACTGTTGTGAGGATTAAGTGTAATGTAATATTAAGTATTTAGCATATTGTTTGACATAAAATAAGTATTCAGTGAATGGTAGTATAATATACTTCTTGCTTCCTTCTAAATTTATCCACACCATAGAAGCAGCAAAGTGAATAGTTAAAATATGTGAGCTATAGACCTCTGTGATGTGGCTCAGAGAACTGGGAGCCCTGGGAGCCTTAGTTTGAGTCCCCAGATGCTTGCTTCATCAGTTGTGCTATCTCAGGCAAATCTCTTACCTTCTTTGAGCCTTTGTATTTTTCTCTTTAAAATGAAAAGATTATGCTGACTATTAGGATTGTTTGGAGGAAAAAATGGCATAAAGTTCTAAGAATGCTTCCTTAATGTCAGTTGCTATGCATATACTTGTTTTTGTTCTTTCCAAACTGTGTTGTTAAATCCTATAGTGTCTAACAAATAGCTTTAAGAAGTTTGAAGCAAGTGTGATAATTTTTTCCTCTCTCCTTTCTGCAGGTTAAGCTCATCACAGTAATGGCTGCGGCCTTACCCAGGACCCTGGGGGAGTTGCAGCTGTATAGAATATTACAAAAAGCCAATCTGCTTTCTTATTTTGATGCCTTTATCCAGCAAGGTGGTGACGATGTCCAGCAACTCTGTGAAGCTGGAGAAGAGGAATTCTTGGAAATCATGGCCCTCGTGGGCATGGCTAGCAAGCCCCTTCATGTGAGAAGGCTTCAGAAAGCTTTGAGAGACTGGGTTACAAACCCTGGCCTTTTCAATCAGCCGCTGACTTCTCTGCCAGTCAGTAGCATTCCCATCTATAAATTACCAGAGGGATCACCAACCTGGCTGGGAATATCCTGCAGCAGTTATGAAAGAAATAGCAGTGCCCGGGAACCTCATTTAAAAATCCCCAAGTGTGCTGCCACCACCTGTGTGCAGAGTCTGGGACAGGGGAAATCAGATGTGGGGAGCTTAGCGCTACAGGGTATTGGTGAATCCAGACTCTGGCAAGGCCACCATGCCACTGAAAGTGAGCACAGCCTTTCCCCAGCAGACCTTGGCTCCCCAGCATCCCCAAAGGAAAGCAGTGAGGCACTGGATGCTGCCGCAGCACTCTCTGTAGCTGAGTGTGTGGAGCGAATGGCCCCCACACTGCCGAAAAGTGACTTGAATGAAGTGAAAGAGCTGCTAAAAACCAACAAGAAGTTGGCCAAAATGATAGGTCATATCTTTGAGATGAGCGATGATGACCCACACAAAGAGGAGGAAATTCGAAAATACAGTGCAATATATGGAAGATTTGACTCAAAAAGAAAGGATGGGAAACATCTCACGCTTCATGAGGTAATACAAGTTCTTTGTATGTTTTGTAGTGTGTTGTGTTCCTTACAGAAGTTTGGTAATAGTCTGTAGCAAAGGAGATAACACTTCCTGAAAGCAGTATTAAAAATATTTAGGTGTTAGCAGAATATAACTCTTTTAAGAGAGTAGATAGACCATATTTACTGGGTTAGGATTTTTATGTTGAACTCAAACAGGTTTAGCTTTGGAGCTAGTGTAGGGTGACTTTTAAAAGATGTTTAAGTAGTGCAAACAAGAAGTCTGCCTTTGCAAGGTGGGTTTTTTTTTTTTTTTTTTTAAAGATTTATTTATGTATGCATACAAGAGCTAGGGTACAGGCCAGAGATGCGGGGGTGGGGTGGTGGTGGTGAGAGGATTCACCAGAGAGCGTGTAACAGAACAGGCAGATTGAGTGAAATACACTGCTGAGGGGAGCAACAGGCATGACTGGAGAGGTCTGCTTTGCCATGTGGGTTGCTCTCCGACCTGCCAGGCATCGAACTCATGCTGCAGAGTCTGTGGATTGCTTCATAGTGCAGTGCTTAATTCCTTGCGCCACCAGGGAGGCTCCAGGTGGGGTGTTTTTTAATTGTGAAATAAAATAGGATTTTAAATGTAACCATTTATTTTAAAAACCACTTTTTATACATTTTTTTAGAAAAAGACATTTTGTACAGATACCATAATTTAAAGCAATTTTTAGCTAACAGAAAACAAAATTATATTAGAGGAATGTGGGAAGAATTACAGCTTTTAACATTGTTTTGGTTTAACATTGGCATTAAAAATTCTCATCACTTTATCTTTGTTGCATTCTATCCAGAAATACTCTGTGTAAGCATAAGAATGCATATATCATTTCTTTTGCATTTATTCCCTTTCTTTTTTTGTCCATTGGCAGCTCATCTTTAAGATTCAACCCAAGCACAAACTTAAATCTTTTCTGATATGTTCTCCCCCTCCACAAGTAGAATCCACCTTTCATTTATTACCTACATGCACTACATACACTATTGTCACAATAACTTTAGCACTTTATAGGGGTTTTTTTTGTATACTAAGCTGTCCTTTACAGTAACTTCTGAAAATACATTTGTTTTCCAAGCACTTGTAGGATGCATTATATTATACTTTGAGGATATAAAAATGAATGAGATACCTCTGCGTTGAAGAAACCTAATTTTTCTCTGGGGGGTGGGGAACAGCACCAATTCCTAATATTATTTGCAAGTGTGTCCCTTTTGCTATAGTCTTCTTAATATTGCATTTATCATTTCTTTATAATCTTGGCTAACACAATAGAGGAAAAAATTTCATTGCTCAAATTTACCCTTCTTAGTAAGGATGAGTATCTTAAATGTTTAACAGACCAATTTTGTGTTTTAATGTTTGAGTTGTTTGTCTTACTTTAAAAAAGATTGAATGGTAAGAACTTTTTGTGTTTTAAGGTTATTAACATTTTGTCTTAAATAGTAGACATTTTCCCAGATTATCATTTGTCCTTTGATTTTTCAAATGCTTTGTCATGTGAAATTTTATTTTTATGAAATCATACTAATTGATCTGCCCTGTTTGATTTCGTTAGTCTGTTCCTTCACCAATATAGTTACTTTAATTTCTGCAGCTTTATATTTTGGTATCTGAATAGGTAGAGTGCCATTTCAGTAATATTGTTTTGCAGTTTGTCTCTCTCTTTTTTAAGGTAATCTTAAGTATATTTCCTTAGAAATAAAAATTTTAATACATTTATCAGGTTTTCTCCAAATTTCTGTTGGTGCCTTAAAAGTATAGGTTAATTTGGAAGGAAATGACATGTTTACAACAATGAGAGCTTTCACATAGTTATATAAAATGTGTAGTATTTAGATCTGTTACATTCTTCCGTAAGTACATAGTTCTTATTCATAGGTTCTGCACATTTCTTGTTAGGTCAGATTGTCTGTATTATATATGTGTGTTAAATATCTATAGGATATAAATTGATTTATATAGGAGAGACAGATATATAAGAAATGAAGAAGATTGAATTGTAAATTAATTTTTCCCACTTTTTAAAAATTGCTATCACTGACTGATTTTTTTAAGTTAATCTTGTTTTCAGCAATTTCCCCATCTGATCTTTTTAAATACATGAGTTTAGATATGAATAGATGCTGATGCTTAAGATCAAAATTTTGGGTAGCAAAATTAATTACAATAAATCTGTGATTTGATCTATTTCAGACATATCCTTTTACAGTTGCTATATATGACTGTTAGGCAATAACAGAAGAATTTGTGAAGTAGGTCTAGAAAACATAGTTAGCATAATAGTTCACATACACTTTGGCACTTGCATAATCTATGAACCAATAGAGTGAATCTACTAAAAGGCTATTAGAGTTGCCATTATTAGAAAACAAAGGACAAAACAGGCTGGCAGTTTTAGTTTCATGCTTTAATCCAGTTTTCATATTATTTTAAAATCATAGTAGATGAAATGCAAAGTTGAATCAAAAGATCTATTTTTATCAAAGCAGAAGTATTTTAAAGAGATGACTTTAATAAACTCAGTCAACCTCACTTTTTAAAAGAAAAATCTTACCCTACTTAAAAAAAATCCGAAACAAATTATTTCACACTTGGCTTTTGCTAAGGGGCTCTTTACATCTTTGGATAAATAGGTACAGATGGTATTTAAGTAATGAGACCATCGTGGGTTTCCCAAAATAAGGGAACACTCAAAATGAATGCCAGTAGGCTGAGATGTGGGGGTGGGGGTTTGGAAAATGTGGCTGTGTTTTTGAAACTTAACTTAGACCACTTGTTACTTGTAACTCAAGTTGTGAATATGATCCAATAATATAGTTTAGGATAGGAGTTTATGAATCAGAAAGCTGTCTTCAGAACTTGATGGAAATTACAAATCCTGAGGGAATTAAAGAAGGTACTCTTTAATGTACCTTTTAAATGTTACAGCAATAGGAGTGAAATAATTTTGTTTTTATAAATTCTTAAGATTAAAGAATATTACCAGTTTGTCCTCAATTTCCAAATAAGGAAATATGACACATCCATAATTCACTGCCAGCAGTATTTCTGAGCATTTTCTTCATATAAACTCTATGGCTACTCATCTTTTAATTTTTTAAGCCATAGAATTGTATGTAGGTCACTAGTGGATGAAAATCAAGAAGTTATCTACACCTAAAAATGTTTTTTCAGCTCTCACAAGTACATAAGATTCTCTATTTTGTAGGCATTTTTATACTTGTTTCTAAATATATACTATAAGAATTCTGGAATGAATCATTGTTATAAAGACCTTTTTTTTTTTAGTTTAAAGAATCAGTAATAGTCTTCCAACTTGGTTTAGCATGACTTGCTTTATAGGAGTCAAGACTATAAAGGTAGTGTGAGGGGCTGAGGCTCAGAATCACTCTATTAGTGTAGAGCATGTGCCAAGGGGCAAATCTGTAAGCACTTATATTAGGAAAAAGCTCAAGCAGGCAGAATGTTCTCTTTCTCCAAAGGTATGTTAGCAGATGGTAAACTAGGCAAGCCATGCACATCAGATCTTAAATCAGTGAATGGATGAGGACAGATAAACTGAAAGTTGACCACAGCAAGACACTATATTATGTAAAAGCTTTTATATTTGTCAGCCAGTAGCAAATTTCTGACACCTCTATAACTCAAAGATGGGAAGGGGGAGAGAGGGAGATCTAGCATCAATGGGTAAGTTGTAGACCTACTCATAGAGTAAACAATGATGGCAAATTTAGGTCCTTTTCCATCCTGGTGTTGAGAATTCAAGGCTGGATGTTTCCAAGGCATCCAGCAATCTCAGTTTTAAGTGAGGAAGAATGTTGAATCTGGGAAGCCCTTAGCCTTACTGGACACATTATTAGTAAGTTATGATGCTGTATAATACATAACAGTCAACTTAGAATGGATATATTTCAGCATTTCATACTTGAAAAGAAGTGCCAGACATTTTCTTCTGATGATTTTTAGAACTGTGTTATGGGACTAATTGTCCCTGTAAACTAATAGGATTATTAGATTAGTCTCTTTCTTCTTGGGTCACTTTTGGTAATTTATATTTTTCTAAGAATGTTCATTTAATCTGATTTTTCAAACTTAGTAGCGTAAAGTTACTTATAGCTTTTAGGGCTTTTTTTGGGTCCATTTATCTCTTTCCTCTTCCCCCTCCCAGTCTATCTTGCTCAGAGTTTGTCAGTTTTATTAATCTCTTTGAGAGATCGGCAAAGTAGAACCTGTGAAGCCACACCTGGCCTGCCTTCTCCTCATTTTGCAGTTAAACATTTATTGGGATACAGCCATACCTATTTGTTTGCTATTGTCTGTGGCTACTTTTGAATTACAGTCTCAGAGTTGATTTGTTGTAATATAGACTGTTTGGCCTATAAAGCCTAAAATATTTACTACCTGACATTTTACAGAAAAAGTCTATTGATCTCTGATCTTTTTGAAGAAACAACTTTTGCCTTTTTAATTGAGTAATTCTGTGTGTGTGTGTGTGTGTGTGTGTGTGTGTATTTCTACTTTCTTACAGTTTATTTTACTGTTATTTTCTAACGTGGGTGCTTAGTTTAAATATTTTTTTCCTAATGCAAGCTGCCTGTAATTTCTAAGGCTGTATTTTCTCAGTATATATGGAATTACTGTTATTCCCTGTGTTTTGATATGAAGGTGGTTTTTCAATTCTGATTACTTCTCTTTTTGTTTGTGATTTCTTTTCTGACCCATTAGTTATTTAAAGTATTGTTTCTTTGGGCCTCCCCGGTGGCGCAGCGGTTGAGCACTGGGTTGCGAAGCTGCCCGAGGCCTCTGCGGCGCCGGTTCGATCCCGGGCTGCTCCCTGGCCACCGGAGGAGGGTCCCACATGGTGCGCAGACCTCTCCTGCGGCCCGCTGCTCCCCTCAGCAGTGTACTTCGGTCCTTCTGCCTGCTCTGCTCCCCGCTCTGGCTCTGGTGAATTCTCTCACCCTCCCGCGCTT